TTTCTTTAATAACCATTTTTTTTAATTTGATCTTTTTTAAGAAGGTATTGATTTAAAAAAACATCTTAAAAAGTGCTTTTTTTCACTTTTTGGTTTAAAAATGTTTTTTTTTACAATAAATTAAAAAAAAACTGACTGCTGTTTAAAATTTTTTTTTTTAACTTGCTATGAAATTTGCTTCTATTGAGATCCAACTTGATATACTTTCGAAGAGAAATATTTTCAGTAATATATGTCTTCAGGTGTTTTGTCGTTGAAACTTTTTTTTGAATTGATCGAAATAATTGTGATTTTCTTAATCAGTGTTAAAATGTTGATTGATTCCTACTACGGGCCAAAACAACAAATTTTTTTGTCATTACCTTAATAATAATTAGCAGAATTTTTTGTATTAATATGTACTATATTAAACATTCAGTTTAGTATGCACTATATCAAACATTCACTATAAATACAAAAAAAATTTCTCTATCTTTTCAGTAGCCTGTTTTTTAGTAATAGGTTTCCCAAGCTTGTAATATCTAGTTTTCTAGTTTTTCAGTTTTCAAAAGAACTCTTTTTTTATAGTGGCCATTTGGATTTAACAATGTTAGGCGCTATGCAAGTTTCACGTTATGGTGATCTTGCCAACTGGACTGTTCCTGTAAGTGAATATAGAATATTAACATAAATAATACTTTAAAAACAAAAACTTATCACAAATTTATTTGTTAGGGCAAGATGTTAAAAGGTATAGGTGGTGCAATGGACCTTGTAGCCAGTCCTACTAGAGTTATTGTCACAATGCAACATATGGCTAAGGTTAGCTTTTTATAGTTTTTTTCTTGGTGTAAAAATTTTTTTCAAAAGTTTTTTTTACTACCCTGAAGTCCTTAATACAAGGGGTGGTAATAAAAGGGAAGGGGGGAATTTTAATCCAGGTCTAATTAACAGGGAGTGTGTGTTTGTATGTGTGTGTGGTGGTGGTGGGGGGGGGCGAGGGTTAATAAAAGGAAGAGGGATGTTTTTCTCAACTCTAATAAACAGGGGGTTGTATTGATAGTTTATAATTTATAAATCCAAATTAATATTTTTTGCAAACCACACATAAAACTGTTTAATTCTAGCATGGCTTGCTGTGCATTTTCTAACAGCTGCTTTATCATACTTTCATAAGGATTTAGAATGCTGATATAACTTTCATTCTTAGGTAAGAAATAAACCAAAAGCTTATTTTTGACAAGTTGAGATTCAACAACAATTTTTAAGTCCACAATTTTTAAAGCTTGTTTACACTGAAATTTTTTGTTTTTATTGGTGGCTAAAATAATTATTTTATATTTTTTTAGGTTCATTTACGCTAAATTTTTGTTTTATGTTTTGAGATATATATTTCTTGTTGATAGCAAGTAAGTGTGAGAGAGGGGGGTCTTTAAAAACTTAGGGTGGGTGTAAAAAATTACCAAAAATAATAAATGTTGTCCTGTCCCCCGTCCCACCCCCTCCTTGTATTGAAAAAGGGCTCGAAATTATCTATTTAAATGTGACCAACGAAAGCAAAAGAATCATATTTGAATTTCGCAGTTTTAAATTTTAATGAGAGTTAGACATAAATAACTTGAATTGATATATAAAAGAAATAAAGCTACTTAAAAAATTCCTTGGAAGATAGAGAAAAAGTATGTACAATATAAATGGTTTTGTAATCTAAATAATTTTATTGAATTTTAAAAGTTTTTTTATCCTATGATTTTATATATAATAAAAAGTAAAATAAAGGCGGGGGGGGGGTCTCATATCTAATAAATTGGAGGTTGTATTGATATAGTTTATAAATCCAAACTAATATTTTTTTTGCTAACACAAAAAACTATTTAATATTTTATTAATTTTTTTTTTTTTTTTGTTAACCGTTATTTAATTTTTACTTGTTACAAACAAAAAGTTTCAAAAATAAAAAAAAGCTACTATGACAGTTGGAAGTTACTGGAAAAGAAAAGATAAAGTTTATAGAGCAAGATAGTGATTGAAAAACGACTTAAAAGGTTGTTAATAAAATAAATCTTGAAAACAAGGTGATAGGAGTGAATTCTATAGAACTGTTATTTGAAGAAAAAAAACTCAACTAACAAGAATTTTTGGAGCACTTAGAAACAGTCACAGTAAAAGGATATAATTAATTGAATGATGAACAACATAAAAAGGAGTATAGTATTTATAGAAATGAGAAAGAGAAGCAACATCACGATGATGTGACAATGGTTGAGTCATAATTATTAATATTTTTATGTCCAATTATGCCTAAAACTTGATGTGATTCGATTTGGAGCAATCTGTTTTCCTTTGTTATAACTCTTAAAACACTCTTGGTTAACAGTCTTATATCATTCATCGTTGAATAATTGAAATGTTAGAAGAGAAATGTGTCGAATCAGAAAGTGATTATTAAAAATATTATAGAATGTGAATTCGTGAGAGCTGTCACTATTTTTAATCAATTAGAAACACAATTAGACAAGTTAATGTATAAAATCTACTATAATTATAATATTCTTGAAATTGTGTTGATCAGCGTAGGATCTTTCAGTTTTAAATATTTAATTCAGTATTTCCACAAATATTATATTTGGTGTTTATACATCTGAATAAGTATGGTTACAAATAACAAGTAACTCATATTTGTTCATATCAAATGCATTTTATTTTAAATTCTTCTTGTATTATATTATTGGTAATATCACTACTAAATTTTATAAATATAGAAATAGTTTTAACAAAAGATCTAAATTTAAAATAAAATTTCTCTGTTGACCTGTTGACTTTTACATTTTAGTTATATATAATGCAACATTTATTGTTGTTATGCAATATTCAATTTTATCATGATACTTTGTTGTCTTCTATATATCTTTTTTTTTTTGGCATAATTTTTTTTTTTTTTTTTTTTTTTTTTTTTGTAAATGAATAAACGATGACTTGATTCATTTCAACTTCATAGGGAAATCAGCTGAAGATACTTGAACAATGTACTTTGCCTATAACTGGCAAACGATGTGTTGACATGATCATAACAGAAAAGGTTTGCACACAAAATCTTTTTTTAAATATTTGAACTTTTTTTCTGTAACTTTATTTTAACTTTTTTTTTTTTTTTTTTTTATGCATATGTTGTTTTTTAATTTTTATATGTTTCTGGTTTTATACTTTTTTTTAACTTAAATTTTTGATTCTTTACCATTTCTCCTTTATTTTTAAATTTATATACACAACCAGGTTAGTCTAGCACCAAGTGTAAATTTTTCCTTATTTTAATAACGAGATTTACTGCAGTCAAATGCAAATCTCTTGCAAAGCATAACTGCTTTGCATAACTGCTCACTCAAAAAGAAAATATTCAAGTAGTGCCCAATTAAAATATTTTTATTATAAGATTTTACTTTTTTTTTTTTTAATTTTGTTTGATTGGAAGAAAATTGAATTAGCATAAAAGAAAAAACCACATTCCAATACCACAATAGATATAACCAGTAAATAGCGCCAATATGGCTATAACGAACTAAATAACAATTATATGGCTACTATTTGACAATAGTGTTTTTTTTTTGTTATTGAACGAAATTTTTTTATAAATAGAGTTTTGTTGTTGTTTTTCAGATACAAAAATATAAAGAATATAAGTGATATAATTAATATAAAAAACAGTTAAGATCTTAAAATTATATGTTAATACATATTCGGTATTATTTGTGATCGCCATCGGATCATTGTTTTTTTTTGTTAACATTCAGGTAACCTAGTTCTAAATGTTGATGAAGATAAAAGGCATTTTTATTTAAAGTGATTTTCAAAGTATTAGTTCCTTAAAATATAATATTTGAACATTTTGAAAGGTTCCAGTATCTAAAAAAAAAAACTGCAATCCAAACCCCTTCCCTTAATAGTTTCCATACACAAACACGGAGCAAAAAACTATATAACAACATAAAGTTATTTTTTTCAAACAAACTCTTAAAAACTGGTTAAAAACTTAGCTTCTTATTTCATTAATATTAAATAATCTGTTACAATGATTAAAATGTAAATTATAATTTTAAGTCTATTATTATAAAATTAACAAAGTACAGATCAAAAGAAATAAAATTTTGCAAATTTCAAATCAAAAAAATTATTTACACTTTGTTTTGTACAATTTTTTTTCTAATTAATAAAGAGGAAATAAGAATTATTTTTAAAAGGATGTTTTTCACGTTAGCAAAATCAAAACACTTTTGCAGGTTTCTGATTTACACAGCAATACCAATGATAAACTGTAAGCCTATCTTTTCTAAGTAAAAAATATGCAAATAAGCTTATCTTTCCTAAGTAGACAAACTGACATCTCGCTATCATTTGTTTAATAAAAAAGTTGTTTGAAATCTTATATCGTATTTCAGTTTCATTTTCTGAATTTTGATTAAAGTCCTTTGATTTATACATCTTATTACTGCATCATAAACTCAATTAGCAAGAAAATATGCAATATGTCAAGTTGATTCGATTCTATCAAGGAAAAGTATTATGAGTTTCAATTGTTTAGAAGAAAAGAAAAAAAAAACCCTTGATTTCTACCCTTCCATCAGTAAAAATATTTTTAAACGATAGGTTTTGCCTATTAGAATCTAGTTATGGATTTAGGAAATCATTGGTAATCATATAAAAAAGCTTTTTAATGTTAATCAAAATTCAACATTAATTTATATTTAAAAAAAAACATAACACTTATACACTCAAAAAAAAAGTTAACTTGTTTCCGGAGACTTCATTTTTGGTTTATTTTTTAACTCACATTTAATTTTGATTAATACAAGCTTTTTGACAAAAATCAAATGTGAAAAAAAAACCATCATTTTTTTTTTTTTTTTCTTTTTTCTTTTTTCTTTTTTATCTAATAAAAACTGAAGGGTCGGACTGGCACTAAGGGCCCGGGAGGGGGAGACAGATAGAGCTCTTAAAGGTAGCAAAATATTTAGCAAAAATACGTTAAACTCTTAATCACGTAGTTTTTTCTTAAAAGGGTATAGGAAAATAAAAATTGATGCATATTCACAATAATTAGTTATTATTAATTTGTATTTTTGTATGTTTTATTTGTATATCTTGATTTATAGAGAAGCCCAGCACCTTTAGACATAGCAGGGGCCCGGGGGGAAAATACTCCCAACCTCCCTCGCCAGCCCGACTCTAGTTGCAACTACCCCTAAAAGTTTTTAGTAATAAGTCGTTGCGTGAGAATTATAGGGTTCTATCTGCATTTTTTTATGTTGTAAGAACTTAACTTTCGATATTTAACTATTTAAGTTTTATTATTCAGCCGTGGCGCAGTGGTTAGAATTCTGGCTCAGAACCCAGAGGTCCGAGGTTCGACGCCAGCTCTAGCCCAACAAGTGACATTGGTACGGAAGGAGGTGTGATTTTCCTGTTAAATTCTCTCCCGCGGTGCTCTATGATAAGACCGTAAGGACTTCTGGGAGCACCTAAATATATACAAAAAAAAAAATTCTTAACTTAAAAAATATTATTCATAATATTTTTTAAGTTGTTTGTTTTTATTAATAATTTTTTATTAAGGCTTTAATTGTTAAATTCTTTAAACAAAAAAAAAAAAAAAAAAAAAAAAAAAAAAAAACAGATAGAACCCTATAATTCTCATGCAACAAAGTGTTCGTTAAAAGTTTAAAACAAACGTTTTCATTAATAGTTTTTTAAACTGTTGAAGCAAAAATTTGAATCTTTTCTTATAATTAGTATTAAATCTTTAATTTAATGTATTAAAATTATTTAAATGCTTTAATTTTAATTTTTTAGTGTGTTTTTGAAGTCGATCCACACGATGGCCTTATATTAAAAGAAATCTGGCCGACGTTAGGAATTTCAGATATTAAAGAATCAACTGGTTGCGAGTTTCTAATAGCCGAAGATCTTAAACCAATGCAACAAATAGAAGATTAAAATGCAATATGTGTTAAATATACATAGATAAATTAATTTCGGTTTTACTGAAAATTTAAATTGTTTTGGTAAAAGTTTTTTTAGCAATATACCAAACATGAATTATAAATTATGTTAAAAAAATGTTTTTTTATTTAATTTTTATGTTATTGTATTTTACGCTTTTTTTTTTTTTTTTAATTTTATCTAGGCAAACTATTGAGTTAATTGTAATTTTTTTTTTTTTTAATTGGCATTTGTTTTGGCAGTGTACTTAAAATTTAAAATAAATTCCAGTCAATAATTTGATTATAAGCATATACCTGTTAGTATATTCAAGAATATTAATGTTCATGAATCAGAGCATACACGTTTAAAAAATAGAAATCATGGAGTTTCTATATCATTTAACCTAATATTAAAGTTTATCATGTTATAAAATTCGGAAAAACAAAATTAAAAAATTATTTAAAAAATCTTTCAATTTGTCGTAAATTTAACGTGCATTTTTTCTTAAAATTGTGCAAAAATCTTAAATTTGTTTTATTAACAACAAGGTGTGTTGACAAAACACCTTGCAGGAAGGCCGGCGGGCCACAAAAGTTCTGGAATTTGAAAGGTCTTGAAAAACACCCATTTCAGCAATAATTTTTAGAAACTCTAAAACTTTTTCATGAAATAGTTCATTATTTCGTAATCATGTTTTTTCATTGATTCGTTTCATTCGTAATCATTTTTATTATTATGTAATCATGTTCATTATTTTGTAATCATCGTAATCTTAAACAGAGTGTGGGATTGTACTGAATTTGATAATTATGTGTTTTCTGTGATCCCAAAAAAAAAAATTTAGTTTGATGCTACTGTCAGTTTTATTAACATCTCGGGGAAAAGTGTTTATGATGGCATACTTAACTTTGAAACTTCATTATTCAATATCATGAAGAGCAAGAACAAATGTTTTAAAATGGATACATTCTTTGTTACATGTAGAACAATAATAAACCTAGGAGTTTTCATCAGTCTCATTTTTTTTATCAGCTATTTTTATTTTTAAAAAAGTACAAGAATGCCATCATAGGCAACTACTGCTCCAATAATGATATAGGGAAGGATGGGGCTGGTTAGCATCAGGGGAAACTTGACAATTTCATTTGACCTTAGAGTCTACCCTCAGAAATGCCAGAAATTACGCAAATCATCATAATTAACCCACTGCTACACAGCAGCAGTGTAGCAATTCGGGGCATGCTCATAAGAGATATTGCTTTTTATGTGTGTTTTTTTTCACCAAAAATTCTTTAGTGACGTAAAAATTACTTTTTACTTCATTGACAAATATGTTGTTTTTATGAAAAATAAAAGGTTTAATATTCGTCAATATTGCAACACACTTAACTCGTTCGTATGCCATCATTGGAAGAAGTCGTCATTTTCATTTAAACAAGCTAAGTCTGCCTTTTTCTAAAGATAAAATTAAAATAAGTATTCCACTAAATGCACAAAACTTGGAAATAAAATGCATGAAAATTTCACTAATATTAAAATCACAATCTTAAATATTTAAATGAAAAATACAACAACACATCCCAAAATCGATTTTCGTTAATTATAAAAGCAATATTTGTGCATAAGGGACGTATTTTTACTAAAACTAATGTTAAGTCAGCATAGACATGTTGGTCTAATCACTTTTTTGCCATATCCAATATTTATGAAAACTAGCAGTAAGCAACCCGTAATACGCGTTGTTAGTAAATAAAATTAAAAAAAAACCGCGTATAGAAAAGCCTAGAAACTACTTTAAAATAGAAAATGACGTAACTCGACTAATAATAATATTAAATTAGCGTATTCATATTATCAGATATAACCGGTATGCCATCATAGGCACCTTTCACCTAGTTATTTTTCATAAATCAATATATATATATTTTTTTTTTTTTTTGCTTGCCAAAATCAATATATCATTAAAAAACCCAAAGTTTTCCTTGAAAAGTCCTGGAATTTTGAATTAGCTATTGACTGACCACCGTGCCTTGACAAAACTGTCTTGGAAAAACTCCGCTCCAATACATTTTCTGACGTCATTGTCTTTGACAGGGATCTAAGTTAGTTAAAAAAAGTGGTTGTTTTGAAAATTTTTTTGTTGGAATTTTTTCGTTGAAATTTGTAATTTCAATGGAATTTCGTTGGAATTTTTTGTTGGAATTTGACAGGGATCTAAGTTAGTTAAAAAAGTTTTTTCTAAAAAAAAATTGTTTTTTGATTGTTTTGAATTATTTAAATAAACAAATACGTAAATTTATATTTTGAAATAAAAATATATTGAGTAACTATGGCTATCACAATTGATCAGGTAAAAAAAACAATACAAAAAATGTTTAAAGAATTTAAAAACGAAATCGACGAAATGATGAAACAACAGGAAAAAAACGTTTTAAACATATTAAGCGCCAACACAAAGATTATATACGATAGGCTGGATAAAGTAGATTCAAAGGTTAATGATTATGCAAAACAAATAAAGATACTAGAAAAAGACGTTGAAGAAATCAAACGAAGCTTAAATTTTCACGAACACCTTTTTGAAGAAAAAATTAAGACCGCTATTGCTTCTCAAGAAAAAACAACAACATCTTGTATCGATAAGCGAAATAATAATACCAACTATGTTAAAATAAAAAGTAAATTAAGAGAGATGGAGGATAGATCTCGCAGAAACAATTTTAAGGATTGACGGGTTAAAAGAAAACGAAGGCGAAACGTGGATTGACAGCGAATTGAAAGTCAGTAAGGTTTTTGAGGAGCATTTGGGGTTAACAAATATTAGAATTGAAAGAGCTCATAGAACTGGTCAGAGAGATTTGAGCAAAAAGAACAATTGTATTAAAACTGTTAGACTATAAAGATAAAGTGGAAATTCTAAAAAAAACATCTCAATTAAAAGGTAAATTTATTTATAATAATGAAGATTTTTGTGCCGAAACTGTCACAATTAAGAAATCTCTACGAGAGCAGATGAAGGTGGAACGAGCGGCTGGTAAATATGCATGCATCTCTTACGATAAGCTGATCATTCGGGAATGGGCTTCAAATAAAAACGACGTTAATGCAAGTTTAGGCGATACGACGGTTAAAAAAGATAAGTAAAACTGATTCATTTGTGTTTATTTTATTATCTATTTTTTATTCTTTTCATCATATTTAAATTATTTAATGATCAAATGAAAAAATGAGTTCGAATACCATACATAATGTATCAAATAATTTTTTAAACTTTGAATCCCCAATTTTACAATCTTTAAAAACTAATAAAAATGAATATAATTTTTTGAGTGATATAAACATAAGTTGTCTCGACAACTCATACTATAAACCTGACAAATTTAATATAGAAAAAAACAACAAAGATTTGAGCATCTTAAGTATAAACACAAGATCAATGAATAAAAACTTTAAAGCTTTTAAACATTTTTATTACTCTTTAAACTATCTTTTTGATGTTATATGTATCTCAGAAACTTGGGAAGATGCAAAACTGCCTTTGTCAGAAAATTCCTTGTATAATTTATCATCGTATAAAATTGTAAGCCAACCACGTGTTAGAAGCAAGGGAGACGGCATTGCAATCTATATTCTTGACAAATTCATATTTAAACCAAAAAATAATTTCTGTTAAGTAAATAAACATATTGAAACTTTGTGTATAGAAATTTTAATTAAAACTGGTAAACCTTTTTTAATCTCCTCGTTTTATCGACCGCCATGCTGTAAGCAAATTAACTTTCATAATAGCCTTAGAAGCATTATATCGAAAATGAGTATACAAAACAAGCATATTTTTTTTGCCGGTGATTTAAACTTGGATGCCATGTGTTACGAAAAGTTTGTAAATACAAAAAACTTTTTTAATTCATTATTTGAATTTAATATTATACCAACCATATTTAAGCCTACGCGTATTACAAAAACTACTTCGTCAGCAATTGATAATATTTTAACTAATAGCGTTTTAGGTACAAGTTTTGAATCCGGTATTTTTATTGCAGATTTTTCAGATCATTTTCCTATCTTTCATGTTTTAAAAATCTAGATAAACTTAAAAAGAAGCTGCACGAAGAGAAATGGAAGAATGTCTATTCCTCTGCAGACCCCAATAGCGCGTTTGATAATTTCGCGAATATTTTTCATAGTATTTATGACAATGTCTGCCCAAAATTAGTCAGTGAAATAAAAAACAAACAACTTAAAAATCCATGGATGACCAATAATTTGGTTAAATCATCAAAAAGAAAACAAAAGCTCTACATTAAATTTCTGAAATCTAAAAAAGAAAATGACGAAATTGCGTACAAAACATATAAAAAGTTTTTCCAAAATAGTGTGAAACAAGCAAAAATTTATTACTATTCTAATCAGCTCGATAAAAATAAATTTGATATTAAGAAAACTTGGTCTATTATAAATGAAGTAACTGGAAGAGAGAAAAAGAAGCTCTCTTGCTTGCCACAAAAAGTAATTATTAACAACAAAATTATAACTAGTAAAAAACAAATATGTCAAGAATTTAGCAAATACTTTGTTAATGTAGGCGCCTCTCTTGCATCTAACATTGTTCAGTCAACTAGAAAGTTTGATGAATTCTTGGGAGAGAAACCCAGGACCAGCATATGTAATGAAAAAATAAAGAAACTTGAATTTAACAAAGCGCTATTTGAACTAAAGCGTAACAAATCATGTGGATATGATGACATTACCAGTGATGTAGCTATCTATGTTATGGATAGTATAAGGAAACCATTATTTTATTTAATAGCATTTTCATTTGAGAATAGTATATTTCCTGATAAATTAAAATCAGCCAAAATTCACCCAGTTTTTAAAAAAGGCGACAGTTCTTCTATTTGCAACTACCGTCCAATATCACTACTCCCTGTCTTTTCAAAAATTTTTGAAAGAATTATTTATAATTTATAATTACATGACTATAAATACGCTTTTATACAAAAATCAATTTGGATTTCAGAAATACTGCTCTACTGAACATGCTATTATTGAACTAGCTAATAAAATATCTATGTCTTTTGATAAAAGTGAACTTGTATTAGGAGTCTTCATCGATCTCTCTAAGGTATTCGACACTGTGGATCACGTAATATTACTTTCAAAGTTAAAACATTACGGTATTAAAGGCTTAATGTATAAGTGGGTAAAAAATTATCTTTTTAATAGAAAACAGTATGTTGTCCTGGAGGGGTCAGAAGCTCTTGATATTGTATGCGGAGTCCCTCAGGGGTCAATCTTAGAGCCTTTAT